TGGTTATGTAATAAGGGACAGAGCCTTAGGTATTCACCAATTTTTGCTGCATTGTGACACTGTATGTGGGGCAGAGGTTTGAGAGGAACAATGCCCCTTGCTCTGCTCTCTGCGGGTTTTCAGTTACTTCCCCTGCTACCTACAAGCAAATTGGGCCCTTCTGGCGCTGATTCCTGGGTCGGTGGGTTTGTGTATTAGAATGTTATAGGACCTTATGGGTCTCTCCAGTGAACTCTCCAACGAACTCTCCTGTGAGGCCAGGTGTTTCTCCTGCTGCTGCCTCAACCCCCACAGGTGTTTTCAATCAGAGGTTTGAGGCTTTATTTCCCTGAAAACCCTGAGTTGCGAAGTCTGTCTCACTCCCCAGTTGTTCTCCCGGTTTATCTGTACTCGAATGTGGGATTGCTCAGTCCACAATCCGCCGCCTCACTGGGTCCGCCAGCTGCTGCCTTGCCCACCAGCTGCCACTTTGCCCCTCCCAGTCTGCCAGCCACCACCTTGCCTGGAGTCCTCTCTACCCAGCTTCCCATCTCTGCCCCTCCTATCGGTGTGGATGAATGTTTCTTCTTTAACTCTTTGCTTGTCAGACTTCCATACAGTTCGATTATCTGGCAGTTCTGGTTGTTGTTGTTGTTGTTGTTTTAATTTGTTGTCCTTCTTTTGGTTGTGGGAGGAGGTACAGTGTGTCTACCTATGCCTCCATCTTGGCCGGAAGTCTCTCATCAAACTTTGAATCATATGGTTTATGACCTTTTAAAAGATCATAAATTCTGTCATTTACTTACCAAGACCCTCTTGTGGCATTCCTCATAACAAAAATCCATTCTTTACCCTGCTCTACAAGGTCCTAGCTGTTCTGGCTTCTGCCTGTCTCTACAATTTCAACTACTACTAAACTTCATTAACTCAGTTCTAGGCCTGATGGATTTCTTGTCCTTTCTCAATCTGCCAACCTTGCTGTTTCCTCTGTAATGTTTTTGCCTAGGACTTTGCGTGACTTATATTCTTTTTCATTCAGGCCCCTGCTTAATGTTACTTCCTCAGAGTCTGGTTTTCTGTAAATATCTCTGTCATTATCATAACCTTACTTTGCTTCATATTTCCTTATAATATCTATTATCACTAGCTGACAGTGTTTTCTATAGTTGTTTGTATATTGTTTTCACTACAGTGTAAACTCTGAGGTCAGAAATACTGTGTCATTTAAATTTTTTTAAAATTTTTACCCAAGGACATATTTTTCCATTGCTTTTAGAGAGAGAGACAAAAAGGAGGGGGAAGAGAAACATTGATGTGAGAGAGAAACACCAATTGGTTGCTCAATTGTTTGCTTCCTCCTTTGCATCCCAATTGGGGATCAAACCTGCAATCTGGGCCTGTTCCCTGACTGGGAATAGATTCAATGACCTGTTGGTCTACTGTAGAACACGTCAACCAACCAAGCCACACCAGCCAGGGCTCTTCTTCTTTTTCTTTTTTTAAAATACTTCATTTATCTTTTTTTTAATTTATTTTTTACTTTTTTTTTTAATCATTGTTCAAATACAGTTTTCTCCTTTTTATTCCCAATCCAGTCCCCCCTCCTACCCTCCCCCATTTATCTTTTTTAGAGAGTGGGGGAGGGAGGGAGGGAGAAAGAGACAGAGAGAAACATCAATGTGTGGTTGCCTTTTGTGTGCCCCTTCCTTACCGGGGACCTGGCCTGCAACTCAGGCATGTGCCCTGACTGGGAATGGACTGAGCAATCCTTTGATTTGCAGGCTGGCACTCAATCCACTGAGCCACACCAGCCAGGGTCGTTGTCTTCTTTTTTTTTTTTTTAACTGCTGAATTGCTAGTGCCCAAAATAGTGCTTGGCACTACCCATGATGGATCTAGGTAAATAGGTTGTTTTTATTTCGACCATTCTTCAGTAAACTTGTATTTAGAATATTTCTATTAGAGAGATTATTCATTTAACTAGAAACTCAACTCAAACATTTTTAAAGGTTGGGTAGAAGAGAATGAAATAGGAATATCTGAAAAATGAGGGGGAAATGTCCTTCCCTAAAGGAGTGTCTGATAGTGTTATGTGGCAGTGAGGTTGAGATTAGAACTGAGATGTCTTAGCTCGGTATCTCAGTTGGTTGGAGCATCATACGGATACACCAGGGTTGTGGGATGATCCCTGGTCAGGGGTCAACCAGTGAATGCATGGATGGGTGGAACAACAAATTGATATTTCTCTCTCACTCTCTCCCTTCATTTCTCTCTCTCTCTCTCTCTCAAATTAGTAAACAAAGGTTTTTAAAAAAGAGATGTTCATTAAATTTCACATCATGTAGGTTATTGATTTCCTTAGTTATATTGGTGTGTTTTGACTGGGTCAGCCGGACAAGTGGTTGAAGAATCAGTGGGAGGCAGGAAAATTAAAGATCGCTAATGTAGATAAATCTAAAGTTAGCTGTAAAAAGGAAAAGAGCAGATAATAAATTGGTGGGAATAGAGATTGCCTCTTAACTTTTTTTTAAGATGGAAGAGATTTGAGTATTTAAATGTGAATGGAAAGTGTTAAGTAAAGGTTTAAGAAATAGAATGGATAATGTGTAATCTTAAGATTCCTGAATGGGCTGTAGGGGGATGGATCCAGAGCATAACTGGAGGGAAAGTGGAAAAGGTTTTCAGATGCAGGTGGGTTTGTAAATCTGGTGTTAGGAATCTGAAAGGAGAGTTCTTTTAGCTATTGTTTAGTGTTCGAGGTAGGCAGAAAGTGGGGTCATCTGATGTAAGCGAGAGGGAGCATTTTGTTTTTTTGGATTTTTTTTCTACTTTTACGATGGGATGAATGGTGAAGTCATTAATATGAAAGGATTCTAGAAGAGGAAGACATTTAGTATGAGTAGGGGAAAATAATGACATATAACATCTTAGAAGAAAATATCAGTGCCTTATCTGGATGGTCTTCCTCTTTTTGTGGCACTCCCCCTTGCCAATTTTGCTTCAATCATACTGCCCTTCTAATAATCTTATTCCTGTTTTAGTTCCTTTGTACGAGCTGTAGATTCTTGGACTGCTCGTGGACCATCTCTGTGACAGCTGACTGCTGGACATTGATTCTCACCTTAAATGTCTGTCACTTCCTCAAATAACCTGATTACCCAGTCTCAAATAACTACCCAGTTAGGCTGAACTGCCACCTAATATTTTGCAGAGTATGTCTCACATACTCCCTCCCACACACATTTAGGTAAGTTCCATAGCAACAGGAATCTTGTCTGTCTTGTTCATTGCTATTCAGTTAGAAAAGTTTCTAGTGCCCAGGAGACATTTAAATGTAGGCCCTTAAATAGAAGTGAATGAACTAAAGTTGAAGATGTGCATAATGGCAAACCGAGGTCGGGAAATGCAACAGTGCACTTCATGTTGACAAGTATAGGGCCAGATGTTACATGAAATGTCTGTCCTTTGAGAGTCAATGAAATTGCCTTGAACTCTAGCTCATGGGTGTTGGGGCAAATTTTCCTCAGTCTGTCTCTGATGAATTAGAAGGGAGATTGTCAGACTTTATCTGAGCATAAAGCCTGTATCGTAGTTGCTACAAGGAGCAAAGTAAATAGAGAAAAATAGCAGACTGAGGAAAAATTTGGAAAGTGGGCCACATTTGAATTCAAAAGAAGGAACAAGGAAACATTTTTCAATACATTAGGGAAAAACTCCTTCAAAGCAGTATTTCAAAAGTCAGGAAGGAAGAAATTTTGGACAGTAGTTTGATGAAGGTCAAAAATCTTATGTAAAGTGAGACTGGTAGCTATTGTCTTTGACTAGAATGAAATAGTATTTAAGAGTGATTATTAACTGAGGCTACATTTTATTTTAAAATAGTACTGAATTATAGGAAAGTGACTTGATTTTGGATGGTGAACACAATAAAGTATACAGATGATGTATTATTGAACTGTATACTTGAAACATAATTTTATTAACCAATGTCATCCAAATAAATTCAATAAAAATAAAAAAAAATACTGAACGAGGAGTCAAAAGACCTGAGTTTGACTCCTGTTTTATCCGGAAGTGACTGCAGATTTCTGGAGAAGCCAATTTTTCTCTAAGCATCAGTTTTTTTCACTGTAGGGTAGGAATAAAAATAATCTTTGCTAATCTCTGTTATGAAGGTTGCTACAGATGTGCATTGTAAATCCATAGATTTTGTACAAATTCAATTGTTATAATTGTGGGAGTCAGAAATGAAGGAAACAGGTAGTTAGTTACATGGCAGGCATACCATAAATTCTGAGGTAGGGGGAAGGGGAAAACAGGAACTTGTTAGAAGGGTTGCAGACATGAAAGCAGGGAAGGGACTGAAGGTTGAAGCCACCAGAGACAAGAAAAACCCTGTGCACACTCTAATTATTGGCATATTGAATTCCTAAATCTTGCTTTTCTACCGGCCTCAACGCTTGGTTTATCACTGCATTCATTTCTCTCTTATCCTGAAACAACTTTCTTGAACTCTACCTTATTCTTGATTTGCTATTTTTCTCTGCCACCCCACCCACAAAAAAAGGTCTCTTCTGGGTCCTTTTGGGGAATTTTCACTCAAAATGTTGATTGCGGATGGCAGGCGAGCTTGGCAATATTTGTTTCTGACATCCTCACGTGGGTACTCTTACATATTTACTACCTAGAAGGATCATCAGTTTGCGGAATTTAACCACATCAGCCAGTGTGTGCAGATACCTTGCAAAACTATTAAGAGCGCTATTAAAGTATCATCCAGCACGTGAGGAAACGGTTCTCCGTAGTAGGCAGACTCGCCCAGTATCACAGCTAATTAAATGCTGACTTATGCAGCACAAAGTAGTTTCCCGAAGACGGAAATCTAAATAAATGCTAACCATCGCCCAGGTGGGTTTTCTGAACCAAATCTCGCACCAAGGGAGGCTGGGGCTGGGGGTAGGGGCGGGGAGCACGAAGTATCGCGAGATGACATTGTTTCCCCGCGAAAGAGAAGCGCGCTTTTTTCCTTTCGCTGGAACTGTAGAGAAGACTCGGGCCAGCGGCAGGTGAGAGGCTGTAGCGCGGGAGCGTTGCACGTTCTGAGAAGAGGAGACTTTGTACGGCAGTGTGTGTCCAGCCATGCCCGCTCAACAGCCCAAAAGCAGCGACGGTGAGTGAGGAGAACCTTTTCTCTGGGTACGGGCGGTGGCCTCCTGGGCGGAGGGGACCCCAGCATGGAAGCCGCAGCCGAAACTGTGAGGGAAAAGCTTACCCCAGGCATTGAATGCGGAGAAAAAGGAGTAGGAAGCTGTTAAGAGTGAGTTGGGGGTGCACGATGTAGGAGATTTTACATGGGAGAGCTGCATTTTCCCGAGCTCCCCAATTTGTAAGCTGGGGTCCAGGTGACTTGTTGACATAGTGAAAAGCTGTGGCGTCTCTTCGGAGGTGCCGCAGGCGTCTCTCCATGAGTGTTAGACGTTTGTCTCGAATGCATCTGGGAAGGAGGGAGAGGTTTTTATGTGGGAGCTGAGTAATTGGTAAACTTTTTTAAAACTGCAACTTGGAAGCCTTCTTCCTCCCCAGGGCCCCTGGCTCCTGAGAAGGTTGAAGAGCCGGAGCCTGCCGTGATTACCCCAGCCATGCTAGAGGAGGAAGAACAGCTTGAGGCTGCTGGGCTTGAGAGGGAGCGGAAGATGCTAGAAAAGGTAACTTCAGGAATGAAGTTTGTCGACCTTAAAGCCAGTGGTAACCTGATGCTTCTTCCTCGGGGGTGTGGTTTGGGATCCTCGGTTTCCCCAGTCTTTTTTTTTTTTTTTTCCAATAAACTTTAAAACGGACTATGTTATTCATCCTGTGTATGTTTACAGATACTATCTTTCAGAAATTTTTGCACGTACTTTGCAGGGTGCCTCAGTGAGAGGGAATTTTGGAGTATAACGGGGCCTCATCTCTCTCTGAAGTGAGCATTTCAAGTTGCTTGGTTAGCTGTTATAATTCTTCCGAAGTTGATAGTTCTTTCGGCGCAGTTTTCCACCTAAGTGTTCGACTTGCTTTTTTGTTTTCTTGGACTGCTTCTAGGGAAGATTCTTAAGGTTAAACTGTAGTGTGCTTTGTTCCGTAAATTGCTATACTTGTGGTTTTCACGCATGCGGTATCTATTCTGTAGGTTACTAAAAGAAGTTTTAACCTTTTGAAAACTCAATTCTGAAATACATTTCCCTTCAATAATGAAGTCCCATCCTCCTGCTTAATTTCTGCATGTGCAAGAAAAAGAATGCTGTCTAGCCACCACCTCTTACCTACTGCCTAATAAGTGATTGTGTTGTAATTCACTTAGCCCTCCCAATATTATGAGGATATAGGTACTTTTGATACCTCTATTTACATAGGACAAAACTCAGGTGCTTGAGGGCCACACACTGATGAACTCAGATTGGAACCGTGCCTGTCTCAAGAGTCCGTGTCCTTAACCCTAGACCCTGCTAAGGAAATACACATTCGAGTTGAGTTCATTCCCTGGAATTACAGAACTACTTATATTGTGAAGTAATGCACTCCAAAGATAAGTAATGAATCAGATGGTTCCCTGTAGTTTTATGTCAACAGCAATGATTTTTCGTATTGTTAATTCCTCATGCGCATTTGTTGCGAGGCACTGTTCTGAATGCTCTAGGTATATCTACTCATTGAATCCTCATCTATTCTATAAAATAGGTATTGTTGTTAAGCTAGGTTACTGGTAACCATACTAGTTTAATTACTAGTATAAACCACTATTTTTGTTTAAGTGTTCTGTGAAGTAGGTTCTCTTTTCACCTCATTTTACAGGTGAGGAAGCTGCAGCACTTACAGGTGGCCTAGGTCTCCACAGCTAGTAAGTGGCAGAGCCAAAGTTGTAATGTCGGCCATGAGGTTCCAGAGTTCATCACATGAATTCTTTTTTAACCACTCTGCTATACTTTCACGCCAGTAGTACGGATTCTTCTATTACTGAACATCCTAGTTGACCATAATGTTAACAAATTGTATTTTTTTTTAAACTCCTCACTCGAGGACATAGTCACCAATTTGAGAGAGACATCTATGTCGGAGAAATGTTGATCAGTTGCCTCCTGCATGTGTCCTGATTGGGGATAGAACCACCTTAAGGTTTTCGGGGATGATGCTCCAACCAATTGAGCCACCCGACCAAGGTGTTAACAAATTTTAATATAATGGGGAGGTTGACCTTGAATCACCTTCCCTCTTTCTCTGAATTTCCAGAGTACTTTATTCACAGTATTAGCATTACTTTTTTGACTTTCTCACTTTGTTTCTTCAGGGCACACCACTTAACTGTTTTGTTTTTGTAGACTCTATCTAGTAATTGATAAATGTTTATTGAATTTTTAAGTATGGTAAAAAGATATTTTATAACTTATTACATAACACATATAAAAGATTACAAGAGATAAATTGTACTTTCCAGGTGAGTTTTAAAGGAATCCTGGGGCAAGTGTCTGGAATAGTATCAGCTTCAGAGTTTGTAAGAACGATAAAAACCTTCATTTTTGTGCAGCGTTTGTTCAGTTTTATAACCCATGAATGTTGTTGGGTAAAGAAATACCATTTGAAAAAAGAAGTGAAGTACAATAAGAATACATTCCCACAACGTGTTAGTATGAGGGAAGAAATATTTTCACTTGGAAAAAGATCTGTCAACATTTATGGTATTTAAGTATTAGGGATCAAAATGGAATTTGGGATCGAAATTTAAACTAGGGGAAAAATGACTTATATTTTCAGTAAAATTTTAAAGTTTTTGAACATTTTCCAATTAGTCCTAAAATTTTTTGGAATTGTTATCGTTGAGGGATAGCTAGCTTGTTTTTTTTTTGTTTTTTTTTCTATTTAAGCAGTTGTACAATTAAAATAGCAATTTTCAATCTACTTTTAGTCCCATGAATAAAGCATACTACCCATTGTAATCCAACACAAGGGTGTAATTTGCTAAAAACCTAGTTTGGTGGTCTGTGGTTACTAGATTGTCTTTTTATGTAAGTACTGAAATCGTTTAAAAATTTTTTAAATTAATTTTTGCACTTGACATTCATAAATTATTTCCTAGGTGATTATGGAAAAAATTCTAAGTTTCTGCCTACAAGTCTTTGGAGGTCAAAATACTGTCAAAAGTAAAGATACCTTTTCTTTTCCGGAGAATACAGTATTTATGGGCATATTATTTAGAAGTACTTAAGAGAGGAAGAGCCCGCTTAAGCCTTAATGAGAAGCGTTTACTTGGCTTTAGGAGACTTGAAGGATTGTGAAGAGTCTGGACAATGACTTTGACATTCATGTGCTACTCTTACTTTTTTGAGCTTTTCACTTGCATTTCCTTTAGAAAGAAGTCATTGTTAGTCTAGAATACTGAAGAATAGCATTAATGCTGTCTGAAGTGGGGGAGGGAAAAGGTAAGAGTTAGGAGAAGTACGAGGAAATAGTTTATATAGTGTAAACTGAAATACAGTTCTCCCACCCTCAGGATTTAGGGTTGGCGTTGGCAGAGAGAATGGGTTAGACAGTGGGTAATTTATGCGCTTGGTCTTGTTGGCATATACCATCATTCTGGTCATCAATATAATGCTCCCTGTCAGGCATTCTGTGCTTTCCACAGATGGAAGTACAATTTACCTTACTGTTATAAGATAAAGTTAAGTCAAGAAAGAGTAATAGTAGATAAGATTTACTACAAAACTATTTTGAAATACTAAAGGCTGGGTTTAAAGGTTAACCATTGTCATAGTATTCTAACTATATTAATTATAATTTGTTCATAATGGCATCTTCAAAGTTTCATTTAAAAATGTATACTAATGTATAAAATTCTCTAATGTATATAATGTACAAACGTATAATTTTGAATAGCTTTTAAGATAGCCAATACATGTAAATTAGCCCAAAATAAAATTTTAAACAAATTTCAAAAGTTTAAGAATTCATTTTTATAAAGTTGTAAGTAAATCATTTCCCCATTTATAATATCCACCTCATTCATCGACTGCCTTATAGTAATTACAATGTAGCATATTAGTAATTGTAAAAGAAAGGCTGTCCTAAAGGAACTTAAAATAGAGTTTGATAAGATGTTCACAGAGATTAAGTTCATGGGTAAGATTATGGGTGATTTTTAAATATTTTTTCTGTAGTGTGCTTATATTACTTTAGTTTTTTTATTCTTAGGTGTCTCACTGTCATTGCTTTCATAATTGAAATTTATTTTGAAAGAAAAGCTACAGTGATATAATATATATGAAATATATATATATACACACACATATAAAAGCCAATATACAGTGGTGCCTAATTTATAAGGTCAAGCTTTAACCACTAAATTGAAGTTAATTAGATTATGCTATCTCTGGTCAGTGTCTCACACACACACACACACTCTGTCTTGCATGAAATTGATGGTAGGGTTTGCATATATTTGGCTTTAGTAAATGAGGACAACTCTCAGTTGATTCCCTTCAGCCTGCTTAATGCTTTACTTTGCACATTATAATGGGTTGGCAAATTATGAACTGGATTTGAGCGGTACTTGTTGCTTAAATAAGTTTTATTGGAACACAGCTGTGTTCATTTGTTTACACACTGTTTATGACTGCTCTTCTTCAAAAAGGCAGAATTGAGTATCTGCAGTACAATCCATATGAAGCTCAAATATTTAAATATTTACACTTTGACCCTATACAGAAAAAGCTTGTGAGCCACTGAACTATGCTATTTGTTGCTTTTATGTTTTCTATTTTGTGCCCTGTGCTATTCTTTTATAATACAAACTTTTATCAATGTAAAGCCACTATTGTAGATGTTTAGATATCAATAAATGGTGTGTAAAAGTAATATGCAGTAATTTTAAAAGTAATAAAGCAGAGCTTTGTAATTGGAAGTTGTACAGGGGTGAAAAAGAAAAGAAAGCTAAAAGATAAGGGGGAAACTCTGGGGAACCCAATACTCCAGGAGGAAAGAGAAAAGGCTTGTAGAAAATCGTGACTAGATTGAACGTGTTGAAAAATGTCTGGTCTAGTTTTGACAATACAGTTTTAAAATTTTGAAAGTAGATGCTCTGGTCCCACTAGTAGTGACATTTTAAAATGTAATGTTCTTTCAAATAAAACCGATACATAGTTTTTCTTTTCATATGGTTGTTTAAAACCTTAACTCCAACTTGAATTAAATATTGGCTTTCTAATTTTAATTTCAAATGTTTTTAAAAGGGACCTTTAACTTAGTAAATGCCAGTAAACATATGTACAGTGTCTGAAATTTCAGTATTTCCGTATGCAAGCTACATGTGACCAGATTGCTTCTTGAATCGAAGAATCATATTTTTCCCCCAGCTATTCTAGTTTTTGGTTTGGAAAGAAGTATTTTTAGTGAATGAATTAATATTAAAAATATTTTTAAAATAATTACATGAAATAAACCTAAAGAGCAATTATTTAGTCAGTTTTGTTAAACTTTATGTAAAAAATCAATGTATGTCAGAAAACTTGAATAATTATGGAAGTTTTCTCTTTGGATAGGCTCGCATGTGTTGGGATAGGGAGTCTGTGGATATTCGGTACCGAAGACTTCAACATTTGCTTGAAAAAAGCAATATCTACTCTAAATTTTTATTGACTAAAATGGAACAGCAACAATTAGAGGTATGTATACGTGATAGATTACAGCTAATAGCTTGCATTTTTAAAACCAGCTTTATGAGGTAGAAATTACGTGTAATAAAATGCATATTTTAAGTTTATAGTTTAATGATTTTTGACCAGTGTGGAGACTTCTGTGACCATCAGCACAATCAAGATAAAGAACATTTCCGTCATTCCCCAAAGTTAATCTTGTTTAGTAATCCTCAGGCCTGGCTGTAGGCAACTGTTAATTCTGTTTTGTCACTATAGATTAATATTCCTTTTTCTAGAATGTCATGTAAATGGGGCCACATGGAAAATAACACTCTTTGTGTCTTGCTTCTTTAGTTCAGCATATTTTTAAGATTCACTTATGTTGTTTACTCAGTAGGTCATTCTTTTTATTGCTGAGAAACAGTCCATTGCATGAACATAAATTATTTGAGATGTGTTTTATATTTTGCATTTCTGTTTCGGACACTAAGGAAATTTATTTTACAGGAACAGAAGAAGAAAGAGAAATTAGAGAGAAAAAAGGAATCTTCCAAACTTATTATGGTAATATATAGTAAGCTAAAATAGGTTATATGTGTTACCTTAAATATTGAAGAAATGCTTTTGTGTTTTTAATTGTATTGAATTTATTGGGGTGACATTGGTTAATAACATTACATAGGTTTCAGGTGTATAATTCTATAATACATCACCCTATATTGTGTTGTGTGTTCGCCAAAGTCAGGTTTCCTTCCATCGTTATTCATCTCCCCTTTACCCTCCTATCTCCGCCTAGCCCCCACCACCTAGGCAGTCACCACACTGTTTTCCATATTTTTACATACAAACGTTGAATTGATACATCACTTCTCTTTGTGTTCTTTTAACCTGATCGATCACATATTTACTTTTAACCTTTATCTGGTAATTTGTCTTTGTTACAAACTGCATAGCAACATGTAACACTTTCTTAGTATTTTAGATAAGAAAGGAAGGCTCTATCAAGTATGCCTTCATTTTATTCTGTGGACTGTACTTTATATATACAAGATTTTACTTTTTTGCCCTGGCTGGTGTAGCTCAGTGCATTGAGTGCTGGCCTGCAAACTGAAAGGTTGCAGGTTCAATCCCCGGTCAGGGAACTGTTCTTAGGTTGCTGGCCAGGGTCCAGGTTAGGGGTGTGTGAGAGGTAACCTATCCATGTTTCTCTCTTTCTTTCTCCCTCCCTTCCCCTCTCTCTAAAAGGAAATAAATAACATCTTTTAAAAAAATGATTTGACTTTCTTATCTGGGAAAAATCTGCATATTTTATACTGCAAGGCATTTTATAAATGGCCAGTACTTTTGAAGCCTGTAATTATTACTTTTTCTTCTTTGTGCTTTCAGCCTCACTACATCAACTTGTAGTGATAACAGTAATCTAGATTTGTAGCTTGTGCATAGCTTCAACAGTGGAGCAAAATTGAATTAGATAGTCATCTACTTTCAGATGCTAGAGCACTCATTTAGGGATAGCCTAAATTTTAGATGTGATCTTTTTGAAGAGTTTGTTGTGTTGTTTTTTAGAGATTTTATTTATTTAATTTTAGACCAGAACGGAGGGAGAAAGAGGGAGGGAAACATCAATGTGTGGTTGCCTCTTGCCTGCCCCCTACTGGGGACCTGGCTGGCAACCCAGGCATATGCTTTGACTGGGACTCAAACCAGCGACCCTTTGGTTCACAAGCCGGTACTTAATCCACTGAGCCACACCAGTTGGGGTATGAAGAGTATGTTTTAACATGAAGCTGTTTAATACCATAATGATGGGAAGTGTATAAAGAACAGTTGTGCTAGTGAGATGAGGAATAACAAAGCCAACATTTATTGAGTACTTATTATGTGTCAGGTAATACTCTAAACCTCACAGGTTTTTCCTTAATTCTTAAAACAGCTGTTAGGTACAGGTACTGTCATTGTCCCCATTTTATATTTAAAGAAGCTAATGCGAGGAGATAAAGTATAGTCCATCCTCCTTTGCAGATTCTGTATTTGAAAATTAGCATCATTTTTAAAATTTATTTGTAACCCCCAAATCAATATTCGTGTTTTTATGGACATTCGTATGCATGTGCTTGTGCAGAGCTTTCAAAATTTGAGTCTCCTAACACGCACATTGTCAGCTATGGTTGGTAGGAATGTGACAGCTTTATTTAAGCTGTCATATTGTAAACAAGTATCCTTTTGTGATCTGTTTAATTCTGTAGATTTTGTTGATTTTGTTGTTTAAAATGGCCCTTAGCCATATCGTGCTGAAGTGTGTTCTGGTGTTTCTAATACAAGAAGGTTGTGTTGTGCCTAATGGAGAAACTATGTGTGTTAGAAATACTTCCTTCAGGAGTTACAATGCTGTTGGCCCTGAGTACAGTGTTAACATAAATGTTAAGATAAAATAGCAACACATAAAATGGGTATTTCTTTGTTTCCTTCTTGAATTTTTATAAATATGTTTATTGATTTTAGAGAGAGGGAGAAACATTGTCTGGTTGCCTCCCTTAGGCTAGGTGTGTGCCCTGACTGGAAATTGAACTCCCAGCTTTTTAGGTTTGTTGGGACTACCCCCAACCAGCTGAGCCATACTGGCGAGAGCAACAGGGTTAATTTATGTATGGTATCAATTGATGAATATGTGACCAGAGCCTGGCAAGAACCTAGACTTGTATTTCTCATAGAAGCAGTGGTTTCATGTTCACTGATTCATTATTTTCGGTGACTTTATAGAATATAACTTGTAAATGAGAATTGATTGTAACTTGCCGAAGGCCACATATGTAATAAATAATAATGCTAGGATTATTTTCAGACTCAACACTTAGCTTCTGTACTTAACTGCTTTTATTAGGAAATTGCAAAATGCCAATAGACAAAACAGGTAGGGTATTTTTAAGTACAGTTTTTTGATTCTTAGTGTGGTTAGTGGTGATGTTAGTGTATATAGTTGATAATGTTGCAAAAAGTAGTTTTTAAAAAGTGATATAATTTGACTCAGTTGCTGATCTCAAGGACTTTGGCTTTTTAAAGAACACATAGTTACTTAGAAGATAATTTTACTGGCTTGATTGACCATTTACTCCTTACTCCAGACTGTTGATTTAATTCATCCTTCACTTTGGTCTAACTAGGTTTTTATACCAAGGTTTTAGGTTTTATCACTCCTTTGTTCTAAAGGTGCAAACCCATTAAATTCTGCCCACTCCATCCCACCAGTCCCTTTTGGTATTTTCATTTTTAGTCCTTTAACTTTGATATCATTACTTAATTTACCTTATTTCTTTTTCATTTTCCATACATGTTGTCTATTCTTTTTTTTTTTTTTTAAGATTTTATTAGAGAGAGCAGAATGGAGGGGGAGAGAGAGGGAAAGAAACATCAATGTGTGGCCTCTTGCATGCCCTCAACTGGGGACCTGGCCTGCAACCCAGGCATGTTCCCTGATTGGGAATCGAACCTGTGATGCTTTGGTTCACAGGCTGGCACTCAATCCACTGAGCTGTACCAGCCAGGGCTGTGTTATCTATTCCTAATCTTCATTTCCAACTCAGTTACAAATTGTCTTTAAACATTTCTTCCTCTCCTTTATCTTCTCACTAATATTTTGTTTTTTCAGTCAGTTTTCTTTTACTGTTCAGTTGTCTTTAACTTTTAATTTTATTGAAAATTAGTATTCCTTGCATACCATACTGGTCGAATACCTTTAAACATACATTAAATGTATATGCTTAATTTTGAAATTTCTCTTGTAAAATAAAAAAAAATTAGGTAAAGAAGAATTTTAGGGGAAAAGTAGAGGGGTATGGTTATAAATAAGAATAGTAGGGAAGTATAGGAAAATGTTATATGCATAATTAGTTCATTGTAATATGTAATACCATAGGAGTCCTTAGGAAAATAATATTCTAAATCCTTGTTCTGTAGGGTAAAAGTTCCACTGATGCAAATGAGGAGAATCCAGGTAAATTTACTTGTTCTAGTTTTGAAGAATGTGTGTTTATATTTTTATATTAATTGCAGTAAAAAATAAAATAATTTTTTTATAGTTATGAGAAAGAAAAGAGGAAGAGAAGATGAATCGTACAATATTTCAGAGGTCATGTCAAAAGAGGTAAAACTAAAGGGGGAGGGGCACATTAAGTCGATGTCAAGTAAAAATTGGGGGGTTTTAAACTACACTGAAGCTGTATGGATGTGGTTATATACTTGGCTATTGATCCTGTTAAGTGTTTGAAGGAAGAAGATGGTGATCATCTTCCTGTTTGTTAAAGGAGCATGAGCTTCGTCTAATCAGAGGTTATTACAATTTCTTGAAACCTCAAAACCTTAAGAACTTTGTTCTTGTCCCTTATGGAAGACCTGTAGGGAACTGAAATCACATACTCATTTCTAAAACCAGATCATATTTAACCTTCTAACTTTTTATCTCATAATAGAAATTAAATAGCATCTTCATTATGGTAAATCTTAAGTGTTCCTTAAACATATTTTAATGTATTACATTCTTACATTTAAAAATTCTAACTTTATTACCTAGAGAATTTTTCCTTTACCTGAAATTCAGAAATTCAATTTTTTCAGATCTTCATAGTGTCTAAAATTTTAAATTTCACATAATTACTATCTTTAAGGAAATCCCTCCCTACCCCCCTCCATTTAAAAATAATGGTCAGGACCCATTCAGTTGGTTATGGAACACATTCAGCCTGAATTTGAAAAACTATTACTGAGATTTATTGGTGTTGAACCAATCACAGAGCTATTAATTTAATTCATCAAATGTTTGTGACATATCTGCTATGGGCAAACTTTGTCCTAACTTGATAAAGTCCATCAGTAAAGGTAAAGACTGTCTGTCTAAGTTACCAGGTGACATTCAGGTTTTGCTTGTCTCTATACCCTTAGCATCTAGTAGGAACTTCAAAATCAGAATACTTTTATTCTGTATTTTCAATTTAAATTGTCTTTGCCTCTTGCTCAGGAATCCAAATTAGATGTCTATCCACAGAGGCCTAAATTGGGCTAGAGTTGGGATTATAATACTTTTGAGAGTCAATTCTTAAGTAACAGGAGTAGCCACAACGTATTCTAGAGCAGAGTTTGGAGAACTTTTCCTGTGATGGACCAGATAGTAAATGTTTTTGGCTCTAAGTAGTTTTGTGGGTAACTACTAAACCCTGAATTTGGCTTTGAAGCCCAAAAGTAGGCATGTATACTGTGTAAACAAATGAGCCTGACTTTGTTTTAATTAAACTTTATTTATAAAAACAGGTTGCTGATGCAGACTCCATCCACTGGGGTCCATATGTTGTAGATGAGACGAACAAATTCACATGGACTACAGCAGTCCTGTGGGAAAAAAGGGATGGCAAGGCCACTCTAAGAGAGAGCCCCCGACCCTTGCCTGGACAGGCTTTTATTGCTTTTCTGGGAGCATTACCTCAAGGAAGGTCTTCATCATTGTCAGGCAGTAATGATCAAACAATAGATAACATTCAGAGAACTTTGAGGGTTTATTCTGAGTCAGGGTCTGTTAGCTAAAGGGCTACAAAACTTTCGAAACAAACTCATTTCATGCTTGGACCCTTATCAGAAAATTGAGGGTATTCTTAGCAAAGCAGGTTTCACAGGATTTTATGCATTCTTTCCTAGGCCTGATTGCCCTGGGGAACCTCCACTTCCTGCCTAGGGCTGCACCACATTGTTTCAGGCTTAAGTCAGGTGGGGGAAATAAAGCAGCCAAGAGACTAGGAGACTTCTTGGAGACAGAATGAGGACTCAGGCTATGTCAAAGCTGCTGGGTGAGGGTCCATCGCCACCTTTTTCTATAGCCCCCCCAAGTCCTTCCCTGAAGGCCCTTTCGAGACTGTGCCTGTCTTAGGTCATCCCTCCCTTGAGGAACCTTACCTGTCATTGGCTAACCAGTCATCTGCCTCTGGCCAAGCAGTGTAAAGTAAAAGAGGGCAGAGGTGGTGCCTCTGCCAGGAAGATAAGCTTTGTCTCCTGGTCGCTCACTCAGCCTTAGCCATGGTGGGGGTTACAGCTTCTGAAACCAGGCAGGGAGGGCCCCAACAGGTTGCCAGTTTGAGTTGTTCCACAGGATGTAGTTGGCCAATCTCTGTACTGGGAAACTATTCACTGTGCCTGAATCTGGACCTATCTATTCAGATATTAAAAATGGAAAATTCAGGACAAATTATCCAAATTTTCATGCATTGCTAACTAATTAAGAATTTTATAAGACATTATAGGCTTAACTCTAATTGAGATCTTAACCATTTGACTTGTATTTTAATTATCTTGCAATCCTTATTTCCATTTGCTGGCATACAACCAGAACAGTAAATGTCTGTTAAATACATGAGTGAACCACATACATTGTTACTTAGTTTTTGCTTTCTCAATTTTCTAGGAAATTTTGTCTGTGGCTAAAAAAAATAAAAAGGAGAATGAGGTAAGACTTAAAATAGATATTAAATTTAGGAGTTATATGTGCCTCCCCTGATCATTACCCTCTTTTCTTTTTATTACCAGTATACTTTTTTTTCCTCATCAATTACCCTATTTCTTATTCTTTAAGAAAAATACCCATTTGCCTTTTCAATTCAGTTGAATATCCATTTGTGGCATCCTTTATGAGTCTTAGTATTTATAAGATTTTTTGTATGAATTGACTTCTTGTTTTCACACTCTTAAAATGGAGTTGTGGATTCTACCAACCAGTAAAATCTATCATTGGTCATAAGTTGGTGTTGAGTGTCATAGATAAATTTATATTCTTGAGTGTGATATAGTCAACATTAAAACTTTACTCAATTTGCCCCTTTCCCTGCAATGAAAGTTATTACTTAACTTGGAAGTAAATGATTCTGTGTTCCTTGAAAGAAAAGTTTATTTTCCTTCTTTTACAGACATCATCGGTTATATTTGCTGCGGGTGAAGAAAATTATTAAAAAAATAGTTCAGTAAATTCTTGAGTAGCATATAGAGGTTTGGAAAGGAAGTACAATTGTATAAGTTATTTCAAAAGTGTATACCTGTAATCCATAAGGGTTGTTTTCAAAAGTTTTTTCCTTAATGGCTTTGCATTTGTGGAGAATGGAGATGACTGTCTCTAGGTTTTTATTCAACATAAGATTTTATTTCTACATATCCAATGCATATAGCACTGGATAAATTTTGATTAGCAGTTATTTTTTTTGCTAGGGTATCAGCAGTATGTTATCTAACTACTAATTAAAACTCTTTTCTTTATAGGATGAAAGCTCTTCTTCTAATCTCTGTGTAGAAGATCTTCAGAAAAACAAAGATTCAAATAGTAAAATTAAAGATAGGTTGTCACAAACAGTTAGGCAGAATACTAAATTCTTCTTTGACCCAGTTCGGAAGTACAATGGACAGCCGGTACCCTTTCAGCAACCAAAACTCTTTACAGGAGGTGTGATGCGTTGGTACCAAGTAGAAGGCATGGAATGGCTTAGGGTAATGAATTCTCAATTTTCATACAAGATACCAGTTCATTTCTATCTAATAACCTATTATGGAGTAACACAATTTGAATTGTTCCTTCCGCATTTTATTATTCTATGTAAAATGTTTGTGTGTGAATACTTATTTTCTGATTTATTTACTCAGTAAATTTTTTAAAGCGAAAATTATCTTATTCAAGGCTATCAACACTTTTATGGCTTTGATAACTTCCTTCCCACAGTCTCATCATAATTATCTTTGGATAAAAAAAAAAAAACAATTGCTAATCAATAGCTGTTTGTATCAGAATTTAAATATAGTGCATATTATTTTGTCCAGATGCTTTGGGAAAATGGAATTAATGGCATTTTAGCAGATGAAATGGGACTGGGAAAGACAGTTCAGTGCATTGCTACAATTGCATTGATGATTCAGAGAGGAGTACCTGGACCATTTCTTGTCTGTGGCCCATTGTCTACACTTCCTAATTGGATGGCTGAATTCCAAAGATTTACACCAGAAGTAAGACATGTGTCCTTTTGTTAAGAATATATCATTTCAAATGTTTATTCTGTTTGAACTGTAGACCTCTTATATAATTATATTAATTTCTGTGTAAACACTGCATTTTATTTGACTCATTACCTACATTAAGTATATAAAAAAGAATAGGCATTAGTAATCTTGGACATGTTGCCAGAAATATATCTGGATGATTTTAAGTGTATTGGAGAATTTGATTCACCTAGGTAGGACTTACTCTTTAATTCTGTTTATTCTTATGGTGTTTTCCTTCCATATCTGTCTATTGTCATAGCCACATTCTTGCCTTATGAGAAGTATATTTCAGAAGTAACTTTGCCACTAACCTTGACTTACTCTTGATTTTTATGGCTTTTTAATTCTCTCATAGTAGTTCAATAATTTATTAGAATTGACTTATTTTGTTACAGAGAAATAGAGCTAAGATTAAGTTATTTCTCTCTGAAATGATTATTATATTTTCCAAATTTTTGTATTCTTAGTCTAAACTTTTGATATAAACCAATATAACAATCTTTTAGATTCCTACTATGTTGTATCATGGGACCCAGCAGGACCGTCGAAAATTGGTAAATAATATTCACAAACGGAAGGGAACACTGCAGATTCATCCTGTGGTAATCACTTCATTTGAAATAGCCATGAGAGACCGAAATGCATTACAGGTATGATTGGTCTTCATTGGATTCTTTGTAATCCACAAATCACATTTTTATAACACTCTCATATCTAATAGCATTTAACGTTTTTTCTGATGGAAGTAATTGTAATATGTACATTCCTTTAGAAACTGAAGGTTGGTTTTTTTTGTTTTTGTTTTTTAAGATTTTTATTTATTTTTTAGAGAGAGGGGAAGGGAAGGAAAATAAGAGGGAGAGAAACATTGATCTTTTGCTTCTTGCAAGCCCCCAGTCAGGGACCTGACTTGTATCCTAGGCATGTGCCCTAACCAGGAATTGAAACTGCGACCTTTAGGTTTGCTGTATTATGCCCAACCCACTGAGCCACACTAGTCAAGGTTTATTTTAACAGAAAGATCAAGCTGAAGGTTGTCGTTTCTAAAAAGAAAATTAAAGCCAGTGACACTTTACTCTATAGCCATAATGTCATTTTTTTATCCTCACCTGAGGACATGCTTATTGAATTTTAGAGAGACTAAAGGGAAAGGTGGGGGAGAGAGGGAGAGAAACATTGATCAGTTGCCTCTGCTGTGTACCCCAAGTAGGGGACTGAACCCACATCATAGTAATGTGCCCTGACTGGGAATTGAACCCATAACCTTTTGGTTTATGGGACAGTGCTCCAGCCAACTGAACCACACCGTCCAGGGCCATAGTATCATTTTAAATGTGTTAGAATCTGCCAGATCTAGACCTAATCCGTGAATACATTGCAGTTATGTCTGTGATGTGTGGTTTAAATCATTAGGACTGACTTATCTATTTAATTTTAATGAAATAAGAATAGGTTATATGAAGACAACTTATTTTAGACTTACGAATCTGTAGCATAACATTTTCATATGGATAAGAGTGTCAATCTCAGGTGTAGGCCTGAAAAAGAAAATTCTGATCCTGTTTCTCAGCATATGGTACTAATGGAAACTTTTAATTCTTTTTCAGTTATTTAGTATAACATTAAGCACCTTTGACAATGCATTAGAATGGAAAACTACAGACTGCTTTGACTAAAGAATGTGAATGGAAAAATGTTAAGTATGTAATAACAGGTAGATTTTAATTATTAGTTTATGGCCACGTGAGGTGTATTTCAGGAACACAAGTATGCTTTAGTTGAGGAAATTATCCTTTTATTAGATTAGGGGAAAACATGATCATCTCAATAGATACAGAAATGCTGTTTGATAAAATTGAGTATTCATCACAAATGAAGAAATTTTATTTTTAGAATTGATTTTTAGGAAAAATTGTGAGGTATCATTTAAAAATTTTTTTCCCTAAATTCCTTTTCCAGCATTGCTTTTGGAAATACTTAATAGTAGATGAAGGACATAGGATTAAGAACATGAAGTGCCGTCTAATCAGGGAGTTAAAACGATTCAATGCGGACAACAAACTTCTTTTGACTGGGACTCCCCTGCAAAACAATTTATCAGAACTTTGGTCATTGCTGAACTTTTTGTTACCAGATGTATTTGATGACTTGAAAAGGTAGGTAAACCAATTATTTTAACTCTTTCTACATTTCCCTAACCTCAAAATACATGTTCTTTCTTCTAGGTAGCTGAATTAGGATAATAGCTTTTTGGCAAGTTCTTTGTAGTATTTTATTCTTTATAGTGGTTTTCTTCAAGCTCTATTGCAAAATAATGGGCATACTCCACTGTAAAAGTTTAAGATGTGCATACAGCATGAAGGTTTGATTTACTTATTTTGTGAAATGATTACCACAATAGGTTTAGTTATCTCAACAACTTTCCTCTGTATCTTACAGGAGTATTAATAGTAGTTATCAATTACATCCCTATTACTTCTTACTATAACTGGAAGTTTTCTTACTATAACTGGAAGTTTTGACCTTTCACCAATTCCTCCTTTCCCTACATGTTCCACTCTTGATACAAATTATGTGTGAGCAAATAAATAAAATATTAGGATTTTATTTGCATTGATTAAAGAAAAACTGAATTGAGAACAATTAAAATATTTTGTTAAATGTTAAATGTTTTTATAGGGCTCAATTTGGTAAAATTCATGAAACACATTCAGGTGGTATTTACTCATTTTATGCTTACAAAATAATTCAGGGGATAGAGGTTAAATATATCTACTGTCTCACATATAAGAAAAACGCTGGTGTAGAGTTATTAAAAATTTAACAAGTTAATGCCAGAGCCAATAGTAAAACCAGTCTCAGTTTTAACCTAGTGCTTTTTTTTAAATGTTGTTCAAGTACAGTTGCCTACATTTTTCCACCAATCCCCGCAACCCCACTGATCCCCACTTCCCACCCTTGATCCTACACCCCTTTTTGTCCAGGTGTCCTTTATACATGTTCTGAAAACCCTTCCCCTGTTTTCCCTCATTATTCCCTCCTACCTTCCCTCTGGTTACTCTCAGTTTGTTCTTAATTTCAATGTCTCTGGTCATATTTTGCTTGCTTCTTTGTTTTGTTGATTAAGTTCCACTTGTAGGTGAGATCATATGGTATTTGTCTTTCACCATCTGGCTTATATCATTTAGCATAATGCTCTCCAGTTCCATCCATGCTGTTGCAAAGGGTAGGAGCTCCTTTCTTTCTGCTGTGTAGTATTCTATTGTGTAAATGTCCACAGTTTTTTGATCCATTCATTTACTGATGGGCACCTAGGTTCCTTCCAGCACTTGGCTGTTAATAAATTGTGCTGCTATGAACATTGGGGTGCATAGGTTCTTTTGTATTGGTGTTTCAGGGTTCTTAGGATATAGTCCTAGCAGTGGAATTGCTGCGTCAAAAGGCAGATCCATTTTTAGTTTTCTGAGGAAATTCCATACTGTTTTCCATAGTGGCTGCACCTGTCTGCATTCCCACCAACAGTGCGCCAAGGTTCCCTTTTGTCCACATCCTCTCCAACACTTGTTTGTTGATTTGTTAATGATGGCCATTCTCACCCATATACAATGGTATCTCATTGTGGTTTTAATTTGCATCTCTGATGGCTAGTGAAGCTGAGCATCTTTTCATATGTCTCTGGGCTTTCTGTATGTCCTCCTTGGAGAAGTGTTTGTTCAAGTCTTTTGCCCATTTTTTAATTTGTTTTTTTTGTCTTCCTGGAGTGGAACCATGTGAGTTCTTTATATATTTTGGAGATCAAACCCTTGTCCGGGGTATCATTTGAAAATGTTTTCCCATACAGTTGGTTCCTTTTTCATTTTGCTGATATTTTCTTTAACTGTGCAGAAACTTTTTATTTTGATGGGGTCCCATTTGTTTATTCTTTCCTTTATGTCCCTTGCTCTAGGGACATATCAGTGAAAATATTGCTGTGTGGAATATTTGAGATTTTCCTGCCTGTGTTCTCCTGAAGGACTTCCATGGTGTCACAACTTACATTTAAGACTTTTATCCACCTTGAATTTATTTTTGTATATGGTGTGAGCTGGTGATCAAGTTTCTTTCTTTCTTTCTTTCTTTCTTTTTTTTTGCATGTAGCTGTCCAGTTCTCCAAACAAAATTTGCTGAAGAGGCTGTTTTTACTCCATTTTATGCTTCTGCCCCTTTTGTTAAATATTAATTGACCATAGAGACTTGGTTTGTTCCTGGGCTTTCTATTCTGTTCCATTGGTCTATGTGTTTGTCCTTGGGCCAGTACCCAACAGTTTTGATTACGGTGGCCTTGTAACATAGTTTGATATTAGGTATTGTGATCCCTCCTTTGTTCTTTCTCCAAATTTCTGTGGCTCTTTGGTGTCGTTTAGGGTTCCATATAAATTTTTGAAGTGTTTATTCTATTTCTGTGAAATATGTCATTGCTATTTTAATAGGGAATGCATTGAATCCATAAATTGCTTGGGGTTTTATGGACATTTTGATGATATTAATGCTTCCAGTCCACAAACATGGTACATGCTTCCATTCGTTTGTGTCTTCCTTAGTTTCTTTCTTTAGTGTTGTATAGTTTTCTGAGCACAGGTCTTTTATGTCCTTGGTTAGGTTTATTCCTATGTACTTTATTTTTCTTGTTGCTATATCAAATGGGATTTTTTTCCTGATTTCTGTTTCTGATATTTCATTGTTGGTCTACAAAAATGCCTTCGATTTCTGAATATTGACTCTGTATCCTTCTGTTTTGCCAAATTCACTTATTAGGTTGAGTAGTTTTATGGTGGAGTTGATAGGATTTTCTGTGTTCACTGTCATGTCATGTGCAACAATGACAGTTTTGCTTCCTTGTTTCCAATTTGGATGCCTTTTATTTCTTTGTATTGTCTGATTGCTGTGGCTAGGACTTCCATTACTATGTTGAATAGAAGTGGTGAAAGCAGACATCCTTACCTTCTTCCTGATCTTAATGGGAAAGCCTTTAATTTTTGCCCATTGAGTATGATGTTTGCTGTAGTTTTCTCCTATATGGCCTTTATTATGTTAAGGTATAGTCTCTATTCCCACTTTGCTGAGTGTTTTTATCATAAATGGATGCTGTACCTTATTACATGCTTTTTCTGCATCTATTGATATGATCATGTGATTTTTATTTATGTGATGTATTACGTTTATTGATTTGTGAATGTTGTACCATCCTTGCATCCCTGAGAATGAATCCCACTTGATTATGGTCATGGTGTATGATCTTTATAATGTATTTCTTGCAGCTTGCTAATATTTTGTTGAGGATTTTAGTGTCTGTTCATCAGCGATATTGGCCTGTAGATTCCTTTGTTTGTTGTGTCTTTAACTTAGCCCAGTGCTTTTAATTCTATAAACTTTGAATTTTAGCTTATATTATGAAAACCAAAAAATAAAAATAGTTTTCAGAAAATAATATGCTCAGAATGGAAGAGAATGATCTTAACAGAAGTTAAAAATAATAAAGATGGAAATATCAAAATCAGGAGAGCAAAATAATTGATTTCTTTTGGCATCAGTGAAAGTGGAAAGGTAATTTAATTTGGGAAAATTGAATGTTTTATTTTGAAAGTAAAATTTTCACCTCTAGTTACCAAATGTTGGTCCAAGACTAGGCTGTCTGTTAGTAGGGAACATTTGTGAAGGACAACCTTTCTACATCCTACGCATTCCTACAGGGTTAAAACATTGAGATAGGAGCTTGGAATCTGAATTCATATAATGTGCTTCAGGTGCTCAAAGTTTGGGAATATCTGGTCTAACTACTACTGCATATGAATATTGCTGGTATTTTTCCCAATTGCATTTACCTGACAATATAATTACTTAGTGTAGACTTAAGGCATTCTTAGACTTATTTGCTCTTTTTAATAGTTTATTTTTATTTTTATGTTAAAGTATGTATGTATGTATGTATGTATTTATTTATTTGTTTGTTTTTAGAGAAAGGGGAAGGGAAGGAGAAAGAGAGGGAGAGAAACATCAATGTGTGGTTGCCTCTTGTGTGCCCCCCACCAGGGACCTGGCCTGCAACCCAGGCATGTGCCCTGACTGGGAATCAAACTAGCGACCCCTTGCTTCGCAGTCCAGTTCTCAATCCACTGAGCCACACCAGCCAGGGCTTAATAGTTTTTTTTTACATTGTGAATAACTAAGACTATATAGTAGATATGATTACATATGTTGAATTTTAAAACCTTTAGTTGCAGCAGGTCATATTTATATCCAAAGAGAGATTATACCAGCTTGGATTTCAAAGATAGTTTTCATTTCTACTTGTCCACTAAACTCTTGCATATAGTATGTACCTTAGGATGTGAGGGTTATCTGGCTGCAACACCTGTCACCCCATTCATTGATCCACCAGGATTGGTTAATCTAGCAGGCGAGGCTTGTGTCCCCTTGTCCCTCACCATTTCTTGTGAGTTCCTTCTCAAGCTGTGGGCTAGGTTGAAGAAGAGGATGAAAGTCCCTGGTAGAAAAGGAATGTTCTTTTGTCACACTTACGGTAGTGGCTGCACTCCCCTGCTAGAACCTCTAGGCAAGCTCTCAAGGTCCATTTGTAGTAAAACGTAGGATAGTCAAACTTCCAAGACTCCATACACATCCAAATCAGGTGCTGCATGTGGCAGTTTGCTTTTTAAAAAAACAACAACAAAAAAATGTACCTTAATGTTTATTTGATTTTCATATGGTTGTAAGATTAGGTCAATGTATAAGTCAGAAAAAAAATAATGTTCCCTTAAGAAAATAACTGCTTCTGCCCTGGCTGGCTAGTGCAGTTAGAGTATCATCCCACTACACCAAGGTTGCAGGTTTGATTCCTGATCAGGGCACATGCAAGAATCAACCAGTGAATGCATAAATAATTGGAACAACAAATCAGTGTTTTTCTCTCTCTCTCCCTTCCTTGCTCTCCAAAATCAATAAATAAGAAAAAAAGTATCTGCTTTTTAATATTCAAGTTAATATAAAATTAAAAATGTGAAACACATCATGTTATATAATTTATGTGATAGCTTAATTTGTAATCATTTTTTTTACAGCTTTGAATCTTGGTTTGATATCACTAGTCTTTCTGAAACTGCTGAAGATATTATTGCTAAGGAAAGAGAACAGAATGTATTACATATGCTGCACCAGGTTTTGGCTTTTTCTTATTTTGGTTACTGTAGACTCAGAGTAAAAAAAAGGAAGCCTAGAAATCCACTATTCAGCTCTTTGTAGTAGATTTTGAAAAATGAACTACTTCCCAAATTTAGCATATACCCCTACCCCCAGAGGTCACATGGCTTTATAGCAGAATTCAAGTACATTTTGAAATTTTGCCCTTTTAATGTATGTTCATTTGACTTCTAATGGTTACTGATATGTTTATATGGACATACAAACCTTCTTAATTGTGTTTTGACAGTTTCATTAAAAATCCTTATAATTTTTCACTTTAAAGCTTATACATATTTATAATAAAAATCTGAAACAGTGTAGAAATGGAAAGTAAAAATAATACACCAAATCATATGTATCCTACCATATCTTTTCCCCTTTCTTTCTGAGTAATTTCCTTTAGGTATATTTATTTCTGGACTGATGTCTAAAGATACTTTAAAAAAAAAAACAATTGGTAATGTTCTCTTTCTCTTGTAAAGTGCCTTATTGACTCCTTACCTCTGGGATATTTCTTCTAAAGACCTAAGTAGTTTAATAATAATATAATTATGTATTCCTTATATGTTGTTTTGTAAATGTTGAAATCACTTGTCATCACACAGTTAATGAAAGAGTAATTTTAAATATGAAGTGTTATGATGTAGAAGGTTTTCATGACCACATCTCTGGGTTGGTTGATCCAAAACATTGCTTTAAAAGCTGTGGGCTATAAGTTTTACCCTAAGAAGTACAGGTATTATTTATTTCAGCTTTTAAAAATATTCAGGATAAATTAGAAAAATAAGTAAATTGTGAAATGCTATAGATAAATATTACGAGTTTGTAGTTAGGTGATCTGATCAGGGAAAATTTCAAGGAGACATTTTTTTTTTATCGCACCTTTAGAGACTTAATAATATTTGCATAGGGAAAAAAGAGAAGGAGAAAGGGACCTGTGGGGGGAGAGTGTTCCCTAAACCACAGGAGTGTACAGAATTTACATATGTTTATTCATGTTTACATTTTAGATTCTAACACCTTTCTTACTGAGAAGACTAAAATCTGATGTTGCTCTTGAAGTTCCTCCTAAACGAGAAGTAGTCGTTTATGCACCACTTTCAAAGAAACAAGAGATCTTTTATACAGCCATTGTGAACCGTACAATTGCAAACATGTTTGGATCCATTGAGGTAGGATATGGATTTAAAATAGACTGTAAATGATGTTGGCATAGAAAATTTCATGGTTGATTTCGGTCTTATGACTCATCTGTTTTCAGGACTTCATGAAGGTGAATTTCTAACAAGAGTAAAAGGCATAAAGCCAGTCATCCTATTAAAATTTAAGTGATGGTTTATGCATTAATCTCTGTAGTCATCTGGAATGCTAGTTAAGAATGTTGATTTGAACAGACACACAGTATACTCTAAGGGCTTGCCAACTAGACCAATCCCCAAAACACAATCCCTTTATATATAGGATGTTACCGAGAGTCAAAAATTCTAATAGGATACTCTATTTTAAAGAAATACCTTCTTTAGTCACCTACCATATTATACAAATTCAAGTGTGATATGAATATTTTGTAACTGAAGATTAGGACACCTTTAAATTTTGCTTAAATGTGCAGGTTTTTGACTATATGCTTGACTTTTTTATTATTAGAAATTTATAGTAGTTGCCAGTTGTGAGAATTACATTGAAAGATTATACCAGTCCAAAGAATTACCCTGTAATGTAGATTTGTGGAGCCTTATTTCACAGATGCTTGATTTTGTGTCTTTGGAAATTATTATTAAAGTTAATGATGATGAAAGACAAAATTGTTTTTTCTTTTTATCTTAAAACATTTTATACATGAAAATATTATACCCCACTTTGTATATATTTAGAATAAGGGGATAGCTTTTTAAATAGATAATCCTTTAATTTGTTCTCTTTTAGAAAGAAACAGTTCAGCTAAGTTCCACTGGACGACCAAAACGACGAACTAGAAAGTTAATAAACTACAGCGAACTAGATGATTCCCCTAATGAATTGGAAAAATTGATCAGTCAGATACAGCCAGAGCTAGACCGAGAAAGGTATGAGTTTAAAGATAAAGTATCCTTGCCCTGGCTAGTGTGGCTAAGTTGGTTGGAGCATTGTCCCATGGACCAAAAGATTGAGGGGTTTGATTCCCAGGCAGGGTACATACCCAGGTTGTGGGTACGATTCCCATGGTTGGGATGTGTACAAGAAGACAACCAGTCTCTTTCTCTCTCACATTGATGTTTCTCTCCCTGAAAACAATGTCCCCAGGTTAGGATTAAGAATAAATAAGATATCTTTTAAACTGTGTAGTTTTTATATTTCTTGTATTAACGGATTATATATTTTTGGTAGACCTATTGTGGAAGTGAATTTTCCTGTAGATTCTGAAGTTAATCTGAAGCTGCAGAATGTAATGATGCTACTTCGTAAATGCTGTAATCATCCATATTTGATTGAGTACCCTATAGACCCAGTCACACAAGAGTTTAAGGTAAATATCATTTAATAATGAGTGCGCTGTTCTCATTTCTTGAGAAACTGTCACTTTCCACATTGGGAAAGTTTGAAATACAATTTTTTTAGTAATGCAGCTAATTTTAGAGACATCTTTAGTTGCCAGCCTTTTCAGTATTCCTTTTAGTTGGTATTCAGTTTGTCAGAACTATTCGGATCCTCAATTGCATTTCAACAAAGAGTCACAGAAGAAAATCAAAAAGTTGGTATTCAGTTGTGGACTTCGGATTAAATGAAATTGCTTTCTTGGGCAGTTGGTGGGAAAATATCATAGTATTAAAGGAAATCAGTTCTAAGCAATCCTCAATAACCCTGTTTCATAGTAGTTTATAACAGCATTTCTCACCCCTGGAAATAAGACATTTGGGATCAGTGTATTTCTTTGTCTAGGAGATGCTGTCCTATGGATTGTAGGCCATTTAGCATCATTTATTCCTACCTCTAGCCAATACATGCCAACAGCATTTCCCTCTCCCCGTTGTAACTGCCTAAAATACATGTAGACACTGTCAAACATACTCTGGAAGTGGTGGGCAAATTGCTCATATTTGAGAAACACTGCTTTATAGTGTTTCATGTGAATATAAAAGAAGATAATCTGATGAGGTCATTGCTATTCCCCAGAAGGTGAATAATTTCTTAATCTTCAATGCTAGGTTATTTATAAACTCCTATGTTTTCTTTAGTGTCTACTGGAAGTTCTAGCAGGGATTTTCATACATAATTTTCATGAAAATATACTGTTATAAAGAATAAACCTCAATATGTATATAATACATTTGACCTTATTCTCTTACACAAAGCCTTTGGGAAGGGGTGAGGAGGACAGCTCAAGGTTATACTTAAACTGAATTTTGTTTTTGTGAAATAGGTTTTAAATTCTACAGTATGCCTTTCTTAGAGGAAGAATTATGTTCTACTAAAAAGAAACAAATAACAAGGTCAAATTTAAAAATTTTTTTGCACTTTATGAAAGTGTAGGATTTATTTGTCATTGAAAATTGAACTAGTCACGTGGCTTTTATTTTGACAAAACCAAATTATTAGTCATGGTTGTAACTATTTTTTTTGTCTGTTTTTTTTTTTCTTTCCCCATTTTAAGGTTGATGAAGAATTAGTAACAAATTCTGGGAAATTCTTAATTTTGGATCGAATGCTGCCAGAACTAAAAACCAGAGGTCATAAGGTGGTACTTTTTGGTTGGACTTTTTTATTATTTAATTATTCTTTATTAATCAATATAGATATTAAGAACATTTAAATTTCAGGTGCTGCTGTTTTCACAAATGACAAGAATGTTGGACATTTTGATGGATTTCTGCCACTTTAGAAATTTCAAGTTCAGCAGACTTGATGGATCCATGTCTTATTCAGAGAGAGAAGAAAATGTAAGACTACTTATGTCATACACCGCTGCTTTTCTGTAACTGTTATCTTGATTTCTCAAGTAATATTCTAAGTAGACTCATAGATTGATGATAGAGATACAAAAGACCTAAAGCCCTATATATAGCAGGATCAAAAACATAAGCATTTTGAAAAGATAAGCATAAGCAAAAACATAAGCATAAGTCTTAATTTTTATCAAATGATATACTATATCTTTTGGCACAACCTTACTTAATATCTTACACAACAGTCACTATAATAGGATAACAGGAAGTTTTTTCTCCATTTTGGCTCTTCCAACATTTTGCTATGAAGATTTCAATAATAGCAGTTGAAACAATTTTACAGAAACCACCTGTAAATCCACCTAGAACCTGCCATTTGGACTTTTTCCCTTTTTTATTGCATACCATGATATAGCATAAATTCATTACTGTATCCATTCAATATTCCATCAGTGTATTTCAAACTAAATCACAGCTGATATGTACTTCTTTCTAATTACTTCAGTGTATTTTGTCTTTTGGAGTATTATTTACATATTCCAAAGGTGATAAAAGAAAGTGTGCCTTCGCTGAGTTTTGATTTATGTGTGTGTGTAAATGAATCCACAAACTGTCAGGATACAGAACATTACCCATCTACTGAAAAACTTTGTCCATGCTCCCTCTGAGTAAGCCCCCTTTCCTGCTGACTTTATCTCCTAGCCAACTGCTTGGGGTATTTTTATCACCATTTTTGAGGGGGGATAGCCTAGATTTTTTTTCCTAATATTTTAATAATATTTCCTAACACTGTTTCTAATATTAGATAATCTCCCTTAAACTTGCCTTGTGATGAGAGGTTTTTTTAAAAACAAAGTTAAGATCTTAATAAAATAGATGCTTAGAAAATAAGTTAACATTAGCAGGTATTTTATTAACATAATTGTTTTGTAAACCTGATGATTGATTTGGCCTCCCTTGGATACATCTTTAATAGTTGTATGTAAAAATAATCTCAGTGTTTTAGTTCAAGCTTCTTTCTCTTTGTCATGGTTGTGGTTTATTACAGTGAAACAATACAGATTAAAATTGGTGAAGAGAAAAGTTAGATAGTTGAAGTCCAGGAGAAACTAGATGTGAGTTTCCAGGGGGAGTCTCACAGACAGCACTTATTTATCCTAACAACATTTTGTAATAGTGCATGGAAAGCAAACCAGGGAAGCTCACCTGGGCCTTGGTGTCTAGGGTTTTTACTGAGTATCAGTCAAAGAGTCATAGGGCACCTGTATGACCGGCCTGAGCTTGAATGGCACAGGCCTCTCTTAAAGTTGTAATGATACAGCATGTCCTAAGGCCCCTGGTTTTTTGCCACAACCTGAGGAGTAGGCATGTCTATACTTTTCTTGTATAATGGGAGGTGAGTCTTGTACTTTTATCTCTTTTCAGAAAGTTGGTCTTTTTCAACTTTTATGGCTTCTTGGGTTTTCAATATTGACCTTGCATCAAAAGTCCTGTGGATGCCAAAGAACTCATACCAAGTTTGAAGAATGCTGGGTCATATTTATAAACCTTGGCCCACCACTGACCTCCCTTTCCTTTCCTGGTAAAACACATGCTAGTAAGACAACTGTTCCACATGCAGCAACCTATTAACTTTCCAGGCAGAAAGTTTGTTTCTTAATTCCTGTGTTCACGTTCTCTTTGCTTTTAGATGCACAACTTCAACACAGATCCAGATGTGTTTATCTTCTTAGTGAGTACACGAGCTGGTGGCTTGGGCATTAATTTGACCGCCGCAGATACAGTTATTATTTATGATAGTGATTGGGTGAGTTACAAGTATAATAATATGCTGATCTTACATTCTAAATTTTTAAAATCATTGTATGCCTTGCAATTTCATTTATTTGTTTTGAAAAGATATCCATTATGAGTAAAAATAATTTTTGAGGTGTCCTGTGTGTTAATACTTGAATATATTCTATCAGTGAAGCCACTCTAGAATTTGGAATTCAGTTAAGGCAGTCTTTGGGTGTCTAACCTGCAGCCCACAGTCTGTGTGCAGCCCAGAATGGCTATGAATGTGGCCCAACACAAAATTATAAATTTACTTAAAAAAAATTTTTGTGTTTACATGTCGCATTGTACTTAATGTGTGGCCCAGAGACGCCAAAAGGTTGGACACCCCTGATTATTAGTTGTACATGTTGATTTTACCCATGCATACTGTAAGTTAAATAATTTTAACCTTATATTGTTAAAAGTTATTTTTCATTTTTACTTTAAGAACCCTCAGTCTGATCTTCAGGCCCAGGACAGATGTCATAGAATAGGTCAGACGAAGCCAGTTGTTGTGTATCGTCTTGTTACAGCAAACACTATTGATCAGAAAATTGTGGAAAGAGCAGCTGCTAAAAGAAAACTGGAAAAGTTGATCATCCATAAAAGTAAGATTCACTTTCTAGCACTTTTTCCTTTTGTTTGTTGTATTGTAGATTTTTGTTATTGTTATTTTCTTTGAAAGACAAATTTGTGAGGCTGGATTAGTTCAAGATTAATTAAATGGGCAGTGGGAGATTTGGAGCTCTAAGTACAGACGTAGGCTGGTGACCATAGACATAAAAAAAAAAACTACTGAGTGTCTACATGAGGAACAAAGCAGGCTGAGAAAAGTATCAGGGATAATTTCAAAGTGCCTATCAAAAATATGTTAGGGATTTGAAATGATACTATTTCTTGGTGAGAGATTAGCCTGTGAAAAGATTTAAGAAAACTTCCAGGCCTCTTCTACTAAGTTCAATGTATTAATTACTGGAATGTGAAAAGTACATTGAAGTAGTGCTGTTTTTATTTATTTATTTATTTTGTTTATTTTGTGTGTGTGTTTCTTTTTTGAGTTTTTACTTTATTTTAAAAAAGTAATTTATTTTTTAATTATAGTTGACATACAATATATTAATTTTAGGTGTGCAACATAGTGATTAGGCAGTTATATAACTTGCAAAGTGCATCTATTTTTTAAAAAATCAACTTACTTTGTGGAACCATGTGTTCAAAAAATTTTTTACTCCAGAGTACCATTTTCATACTTTTGACCATGGCATTTTAAAAAATATACTGTTTTCTAATCTAGAAATGATTTGAGGAGTAGGGGAAATAAAGTGGGTGAGGCATGGGCATTTTCTGTTCTGTTTCTTGTGATCCTTTGAAGAAATTCTCCTTTTATTCATTGAATATTAAATTATATTTGATGCCCTGGCTGGCATAGCTCAGTGGATTGAGCGCTGGCTATAAACCAAGTATCTCAGATTCGATTCCTAGTCAGGGCACATGCCTGGGTTGCAGGCCACGGACCCCAGCAACCACACATTGATGTTTCTCTCTCTCTTTCTCCCTCCCTTCCCTCTCTAAAAATAAATAAATAACAATCTTTTAAAAAATCTAAAAAAAATTATATTTGAATAAGTGACTAGATGGCTACCATGAGAAAGGTAGACAATATCTGTTAGTTGTGAAGCCTAGAGAAATGGGAACACCATCATAATGTTGAAAATTACTATCAATGGCTCTGGCTGGTGTGACTCAGTACATTGAGTGCCTGTGAATCAAAGGGGTTGCTGGCTGATTTCCAGTCTAATGCATGTGCTAGTGCATGGTCCCCAGGAGGGGGCGTGCGAGAGGCAACCACACATTGATGTTTCTCCTCTGTCCCTTCGCCTGTCTTTAAAAATAAATAAATAAAATATTTTTTAAAGATTACTATCAATGTATTTTATGCTACTTTTCTACTTGGACATACAGTAATTCCTCACTTCATGTTGTTGATAGATTCTGTGACTTGAAGTGAAATGATGTATCAAAAAACTAGTTTTACCATGGGCTACTTAATATAAACAAGAGTTGTGTTCCTGTGGCATCTCATCAGTGTTATAATAAAACAGATTTTTTGGGGATCTGCTATACTTTCTTTAGTGCATCGGATTTTGAGGGAAATATGGATTAGGTTATGGGCATCTTTGATTTATTTGACTTGATGTAACATTCAGATTGTAGTTAGAATACATATTGGAGGAAAAAAAGAACTTTATCCTAAGAAGATTTTGTGTATATTAAAAATTTCTCATCCATGCTGCTTTAGGAATTTGATGGAATATGTACTTTGTTTACTGAATGTAGTTTAAATTAAGTAAAGTTCATAGCTTTATTTCTTAAGCTCTATTTTCAGTATTTTGAAATTAAATTTCAAATAATTTGAAAGGAATTTTTTACGTATTAAGTTTTATTGAGATACGTACAGATTTTTAAGTGTGCAGCGTGGTGAATTTTGAGCTATGTACAAGGTCTGTCCAGAAAGTATCCAGCAATGTAATATGAATAATAGAGACATCTATTGAAGAAAATACAAGAAACATCGCACGTAGGACAATGATGCCTTAGTCCCCTTCAAAGTAGGTACCTTTGGACCTCACATAGTCTTCCCAGTCGCCATCAGCTGCCCTGTTGTATTTTCCTGAATCTCATCAGTGGTCTGGAATCTCTTCCCTTTCGAAGGTTATTTTAGTTTTGGGAAAAGCCAGAAGTCTCAGGGCACCAGATCTGGGCTCTGGCAGGGTGGGGGTGGGGGCTGAGTCACCTGGGTGCTTTGATGTTTCGCCAGAACCTCTGCGCAAGATGAGATGCACAAGTGGATCCGCAGCTGCGGCCTTCTGAATCATCCAAATAATTTCCACAAAGGAATGTTTAAGCTTATTGCAAAATTTGATGCAGATTCGTTCCTTTACTGGCTTAGTCATTTTGAAGGCAATGGCCAGACATTACACATGCTCATTCAGACGTCTACTGCCCTCACTGTCTAGCACAGTGAAGTCCTTATTGTTCACATGTGCACATTCCAGTCCACTTGCCATGGCTGCCAGGCTACATCAGTGTCATGTAAACCATTCTCGTTATGTTAACTGGCTAGACTTTTCCCATACCGACTTCATTTATACTCATGTAGCAATCCTCTAGAATAGCAGTCCCCAACCTTTTTGGCACCAGGGACCTGTTTCGTGGAAGACAATTTTCCCATGGACCAGGGTAGGGGAATGGTTTCAGGATGATTCAAGTGTGTTATCTTTGAACTCACCTGCTCTATGGCATGGATTCTAACAACCCTGGACCAGTCCATGGCCTGGAGGTTGGGGGTCCCTGCTCTAGATCAGTCACAAACATTTTCATTGTCCAAGTAGGTTTTCCTGCATCCTTTGTTTATAGCGCTTTTTTGTCTAGCTACTTTTGCTCAACATAATATTTTGAAATTCATCTGTTGTCTGTATTAGAAATTTGGTGTTTTTTTTTAAATGCTGAATAGTTTATTAATTCTTCTATTGATTGATTGAATTACAGACTTTGACTCAGTAAGCTGCTCCTATACAGATATTTGTGGACATAAACATTTATTTGTTCTGGGTCTTATGATAAGTATGTGTTTACCTATAGGGAACTACCAAACCTTTCCCAAATGGACATATTCTTTTATACTCTTACCAGCAAAGTTTGAGAATTTCAGTTGCTTTTCTTCTTTACCAACCCAACACAAGGTTTTATCTGTCCTAAATGTAAGCAGTTCTGATTAGCTTGTAATGTATTTTGGTTTTAAAAACAATTTCGAGTATTCTGAATTTCTTGAAAACTTTTTCTAGATCATTTCAAAGGTGGTCAATCTGGATTAAATACATCTAAGAGCTTCTTAGACCCTAAGGAATTAATGGAATTATTAAAATCTAGAGATTATGAGAGGTAAGATGTTTTTTAATTTTAGAAAAATGTAATTCATGGTTTTGGTTTATCATACAGACTTGATTTTTTGCTTTCTTTTATAGGGAAGTAAAAGGATCAAGAGAGAAAGTCATTAGTGATGAAGATCTAGAGTTGTTGTTAGATCGAAGTGACCTTATTGGTAAATATCGCTCATGCTTTTATTTTCATGGAAACGTTGAAACATATTCATAAGTAGAGAGAATAGTATAATGTACCTGTATGTATAAATCCACTCATCTTCAATAGTTCGCAACATTTAGTCATTCCTTTTTCATTGCTATTTTTTTGTCAGAATGTTAAAATTATGACATTTCACCCATATCTTTCTCATGCATCATTTATTAAAAAGAACATATTTTCAAACATAGCCACTATGTCATTATTATGTTTAAGAGAGTTGGCACTAATAATCCAATCCATATCCAGAGTTCTCCAGTTGTCTCGATTCTTTTTACAGTTTGAATCAGGATCCAAATTTCATTAATTGTGAAGTCCCTATTTCTCTATAACACCCCTCCTCACTTTTGTTTTTTCGTGTCATTTGTTGGAGAAACCTGTTAATTTGTTCTGTAAAATGACCTAGATTCTGAAATGGGCCTATTTTTTCTTCTCTGCCCCCTTGTATTATCCTTTGACTTCTTTCTCTGTCTACTTATTTTCTTTTCTGTAAGGTAATGAATAGCTTGTGTAAATAGCTCTGTAGGCATAATTACCTCCAGGTTCCATATTTTAGGAATACCAGTGCTTTGTTCTCATATTTTAAATCATACTTGGAGGCACATAATAGCTGAATTTCTTATTTTTAGTGAGCTAAGCTTGATCAGATTTAGACTTATTTTAATGTTATAGTTTCCTGTCAACTATTTATTTAACCTGATAGCTTTAACCTGATAGCATCCATTGATGATGATTGTTTTGGATGTTTTTTTCCTTAAGGATTTCAAAATGGTGACTTTTTTATTCTACTGTTACTTTATTAAGAACTTTTCCTTGTTGATTCTATGCAGAATCAATAGATATAATCTATGCAGATGAGGCAGAATAAATTACTTCTATCATTTACCAATTTTTTAAATAATGAGTTAAGTGGTGCCTATCATGGAGATTACAAATATAATACTTAAAACTCAACATTTCCTAATTATTTTATAACATTATTGGTACCTGTGCTCTTCATTATTTATATTTTGTCTGTATGGTAGAAATAGTACATAATAACGTGCTCACCTTTTGCAACTCTGTGTTCAGCATATTAACATTGGTGTCTTGATAATGGTCATGGTAAGAATAGTTAATACAATAGAAACAGGCAAAAACTATAAGCCTGTTTGGAGTGGGGAGAGCCAATTGCAAGCTATTCACTAGCTTACCACTCTGTACAGTGTCAACTTAGATTCAAATATCTTTTCAAAATTGTTTGTCTTATTAGTGACTTAAAAGAATTCTTTACATATTCTATCTAGATTAAGTCCTTTAATCAGATATGTTTTGCAAATATTGTCTCCCAGCCTGTGTCTTCATCTTTTTTAATTAGTGCCTTTTGAAAGACAAAAGTTTTTACTTTTGATGAACTCCTCTTTCCTTTTTTTGTTGCTGTATCTGGTGATTTTGGTATTGTGTCTAAGTTATCTTTGCCAAACCTAAGATCATGATGTTTTCTTTAAGAATTACAGTTTTAGCTCTTACATTTGAGTTTTAGCTATTCTGAGTTCTTTGTATGTTTATATGCACTATGATATTCATATAGTTCATGAAAAAATGCAGGAGTCGAAGAAAAAGCATTATGGCCAAATCTTAAATATATTATCAAAAATCAGCACCACAGTGTAACATTTGAAAATGGTAATTATATTAACTGAATAAAGGAGAAGTACTTAATGAAAACCCACTTGATAAAACATGATAATCACCCCTCAATATTTAAACTAGGCATACAGAAAAATGTTCTTAATCTGATAAAAATATGTTCATCTAGGAAACAACTACTAAAATTAGGAACATTCAAAGATAGCCCTGACTGATTTGGCTCAGTGGATTGGGTGTTATCCCACAAACTGAGAGGTCACTAGTTTGATTCTCTCTCAGGGCACTTGCCTGGGTTGCAACCTATGGATGTTTCTCTCCCTCTCTTCCTCACTTCCCCTCACTCTGTAAATAAAAAAGAGCTTTAAAAAGAAAAACATTCAAGGATAGCTGTGGCCTATGTGGCTCAGTTGGTTGAACTTTATCCAGCACCTGAAAGGTTGTGGGTTCAATTCCCTATCAGGGCACATACCTATGTTGTGGGTTTGGGTCACTGGTCCCAGTGTGTACAGGAGGCAACCAGTCAATGCTTCTTTCTCACATCAGTGTTTCTGTCTGTCTTCCTCTCTCTAAAAGCAATGAAATAATGTCCTTGGGTGAGGATTTAAAAAAAAACATTCAAGGATAACAGCTCTCATAGCATTGTACAGTATACATAGGATTTCTAACTAATACTATGAGATAATAATAATAGGTTAGAGGAATAATAGTAAGAAAGTTCATATTGCTTGTATTTGCAGGTGGTGTAATAGTCTTTATAGAAAGTCCAAACGAATCTGGGAGTTTTTAGAACAGTATTCAAGATGGATGCTTATAAATTAATACTATGTGTATCTGTAACAGTTGTTTAGAAAATAAGATCTGACAATAATAGCTATAAAACTATATAACATGACTATGATTAAATATAACAGTTTCTTTAAGGCCTTATGGAGGAAATTGAGACATGGAAGGACATTAATAGAAAGATTGAATAAAGTACAGATTAACCAGATTCACAGATTTGAATGTTTAGTATTTAAAAATAAGTCACTATTCCTCAACTTCACTTATATGCCTTACATTTATCTTCTAATTAATTAAATCCCAATATGACTTTTTAAAGAACTTTGGACAGGCTGTTTTTAAAATTTTTATGAAGGAGTGAAAGGACAAGAGCCAGGACAGTTTTGAAGAACAAAACAAATCATACCAGGCACTAAGACTTAATTAAAAAGTCGTAACAGTTGATAATTATCATATGGCCCTGGTGGGTGTGGCTCAGTGGATTTAGTGACAGCCTGGGAACCAAAGGGTCACTGAGAGAAGCGACCACACATTGATGTTTCTCCCCGTCTCTTCCCTTCCCCTCTCTAAAAATAAATAAATAATCTTTAAAGAAAGAATTAACATATGATGAGCTGTATTAAGTAGTGGTATGACAAATCTAGAAAGTCAGCCAGACTTACATGGAAAAATCCATAAATGACAGAAATAGTGTTTCCAAGTAGAGGAGGTGAAATTCCTCTTAATACATGATGCTGGGACAATGTGTAATCAGTCAGGGAAAACTTCATACCATACTCAAGAACAAATTTAGATAAATGAGCAGTCTAAGTAGTTGATACCTAAGTAAATAAAGCAAAACTTTTAACTTGAAAAGTAGGAAAATATATGTATGACTTCAAGACAGGAAAATAAATACTAACATCTCACAAGCTAAGTGAGCAATTTGATAGATTTTATTGCAATAATTTAAGGACGTCAGGAAAAATAGGTAATACCATAAGTAGAAATAAGGGACAACCAAAAAATTTTGCAACACATAGGAGACAGAAAATGTTTATCATATATAAATAAGTAAAAATTAAGAAAAATGGACAACATATGAGCTGGCAATTACCAGGAGAGAAAGTAAAGGCCAGGGGAAATACAAAAATAATTGAACCTTCCTAGAAATCAGAATAATTCACTTTAGAGATATTATTCCCCACCTGTTAGATTGACAAAAGATCACATATTGGTAATGGGAGTGTGTGTAAAGAGAAAATTTCAGGGTGTCTTATTACCTGCTATTAAACTAACCATAATTGGGCTTTTTAAAAAAGACATGTTTGAGAACACAATTCAGGCGGTTTATTTCTCTAGATCTGTATCTTAAATTTAGTGGAAGTGATTTTAATTGGCAAACTTACGTTTCAGTTTATGTGTCCCCTGGAGCCGATTATAATTGTGAAATAGTGAACTTGATTGCTTTGGGTACTATTAATCCATGTTTCTGTCAGTTTTAAAATTTTTTGCAGATAACTCATGTCTAATAACAACATATTGGACATCTTTTTCAGTATTCCTCTTGAGGTTCTTAACACTTAAAAAAAACAAATACTTATTTTAATATTTTTCTCTTAGATCAAATGAATGCCTCAGGACCAATTAAAGAGAAGATGGGAATATTCAAGATATTAGAAAACTCTGAAGATTCCAGTCCTGAATGTTTATTTTAAATTGGAGCTACAGAATGTCTTTTTTAATTTCTTGTTTACATCTACAGATTTACCTATATTGGTGTTAAAGTCCAGATTGTCTACTTTACTTTTTGATTATTTCAGTTTACATAATGTAACACTGCATAATTAATAGATGGTAATTTTCTGAGCCTTATTAAGAATGATATATTCAATTTAGATTTTTGGTTAATTTTTCTGACTCAGTAGTACCCTTGGGCATAGCCTCATGTGTACTAAACCACTGCCAGATTTATACAGTCTTCCTGTGGAAGTTTATGGTCTTTCCCCCTCACTTCCCCTCTTCAGCAGTACGGTTTATGGGTTTTGGGTACTTCAGTTATGGAGTAGGCTTTTAATGGGGGAAAGATTGGGATTGTGCTTTCTGTTTAAATGAGAAATTGTTTGATTTTAGATCTATTGCTATAAAATGGTTCACCAAATAAATGTTCATTATAAGATGATATCATCAAATTATTTTTTTCAGAAAGAATGGCTTGGGTGAAGTAATAATAGCAAAAGTCTTGGAACGTATTGTGATTCAGCATTACTTACCTGGCTTGGTTGCATTCCTTAAGATACACATATATAAAAAGATTTCAACTGAATATTGGGTTAATGCAGAGAAGGCTCTGGAATGTACTATAGGGTCTTAAGAGATCAGAAACTGGAACTGGTAATATATTTTGCAAAACATGAATAGAACAAGAGAGATGACACCCTTAAAATTTATAGTGGTGGTGGGAGTAAGAAGAAAACAAGACCTAAGAATATAGGTAATGCAAAATTTGTAACAGGAGCATAAAATGGTAGCAGTTCACACCCTGTATGTATATCAGGCTATGAGGAAGAGAAATCCTGAATGTTCCCTGAACCATACATTTCTGTGTGGGTTCCTTCTCTCATGGAAAAAAATGTTATTCCTGCTGCCATGTATATTCAAATGTAGATGAGAATATCTCCACCTTAGGGAGATTCAAAGAAAAGAACAGACTACAGAGCCAGTTTTTGTTTTGTTTTTGTGATTTTTTTAAAAAACTGGAAATGTTTGCCAATCATAGTTATGCTGACTAACCATCAGAACATTGGTTGCCTAGCTCTATCTACTAAAAGTGTTCCTCTCAAATGAGAATGTAACTGTAAGTTCACCTCTGTCTTCACATCTGTAATACCTTCTTCCTTAGCACCTTGCTCCCTGTTGACACTAGATAATAAAAAGTATCAGGAAAGAACTTTTGAAAGTGCCAGCATCACATCTCTGTAAGCCTGCCAGTATCTGCCCATGTATCCTTATTACTATGAAAGTATTGTCTGTACAAGCTAGAACCAACAGAAAACTCTCATTTCTGTCATAGAAAACTCCTTGAAAGGTTGACTGTATTTGCTTTTTTGATTCTCTCATTTTTTGTTCCCTGAACCCATTGTGGTTGGATTTTCATCTTGTTGATCCATGGGAACTGTTCTTACTAAGGTTTCCAGTGGCCTCATTGACCTCACTTTACTTGATATTTCAGTAGCATTTTAACAGCTACTCAATTTTCAGCCTCATAATCACGAGATTGGGTACTTAATCAGCCTTTTAGTCTGGTTTGTTTGCTAAATAGGAGCATGTTGGAAACATGAAACAGGAATAAAGTTACAATAATACCCAGATGAACACTGGATAAACACTCAGTTTTCTAGAATTAAGGAAAAATGAAAGACTTCATAGTAGATTAGTTTATCAAGTGCTATTACAGAAGAGATGAAAACCAGTTGACTGCACCAGAGGAAAATAAAACTAGATTACCTGTAAAGAAACAAAGATCACTTAGCAGATGTCTTATTTCAAGAGTGAGTGAAATAAGCAAATCTTTAGTATGCTCAAGAGAAAAATTATGATCTAGAATTTTATATTCAACTAGAGTACATGAAAGTGAGGGGACAGTCCATTTAGGCATGCAAGTTTTATGGAAAAGGAAGCAAAGGTACTGACCCCCAACCCTGTGAAGTGTTAAAAACAACCAAATGTGGAGTCCATGTGTCCTAACCTGGCTCTTTAGTACCCCACTGAGGGTCACTTTAATACTTCAAGCCATAGACAATAAGCAGCAGTGCTATTGGCAGATGGAGGTGTGGATGGATTTCAAGCCAGCAACTGAAGTAGAACAGGCAGCCTATATTTTCTGAATTTGATGTGATCCAGGTCTGAGGAGAGCTTTTTGAACCACTTCCCTTAGATAACCTTATTGTCATCACTAGCTTTAATATATGCATTTCTCTGAATTGGAAGTAAGTGCTTTTCTGGCTCACAAAAAGTTGTTTTTGTAAACTAATGATTATATTTGGCTCAACTATAAATGCAAATTCAGGGAAATAGTAACCTTATATCAGGGATGGAGTAGGGTTTCAATAAGATCTTGAACAAAATGGCATACATTAAAATTAAAAGTCTCAAAAGTACAGGGAAATGAAACTACATAAAATGCTTAATGCAGTGTCTGCCTGTTAATCTTTAATAAGTGACAGGCACCATTATCACTTCTACCTATTTTATTAATAGCAGTTTACTAGTGGTCATTAGTAAACTACCAAGGAAATGGTACTTACATGGAAGAGCCAAAATTCCAAACTATAGACTCTGGTGCTATTATACCTTGCATAAGTCTCCATTCCTTGGACAAAGACATCTGATTATTTCTCTGTAAGGGAAAACAGTTGTCTTTTTGGCCAAGTTACACTCCTTTTGTTTCCACTGTGAGCATGTAGCTGCAGTTCTGAGGCATTTTCCTGGCTTGCAGAACTCAAAAATAAGTTTTGCTTGAGCACATAAAGTGAGAAGAGCAATTCTCTTTGTCCAGAGTCCAGACTTCTAAAAGTTTTGATCTGAAAAATGTGTGGTTGTGGGTATAGAATGAAATGATCTTGGTTTTAGCATATAAAGAAATAACGATTTGAAATAGACCTGGATTTCAGTTCTTTGCCCAATGTACAAACTTGGGAAAGGCAAACCGTGTAAATCTATTTCCTCATACCAGTGGAGCTGATACTCCCTGCCCATCTGAGTTTACACATTTCTTTTGCATACTACGTTATAGTATGTGCACAACCCCTCAAAATTACCTAGATCATAGATAGCAAGAGTCCAGTTGAGAGAAAGGAAGTCATTCTAGGTATACACTGTTTGGGGGAGACATATTTATAATGGAAAAATGAAGTTTTAATTTCAGACTAAAGCCCAAGTTATAGCTCTCCCTAGATCTCATGTATTAGTGTCTTTAACTTGTTTTCTAGAGCTTGTGGACAAAAGATCATACAAATAAGAGTCACAAGAAGCAATGTAGTTTTGTTATCAAGAGTATGCATTACAGAATCAGATTTGGGATCAAATCCTCATTCTATTCCAAGCTAGCTGTCACCATTGAATGGAAATCACTTAACCTCTCCAGGCCTCAGTTTCCTTATTTGTAAAAATGGGGAAAGAGTAGTAATCCTCAGATTGCTGTGATGATTATGTGCAAAAATGTTCTGTGTTGTTCCTATCACATAAGAACCTCAAATATTGATAGAAAAATATATATTATAGACTGCAATTTGCTCTAACCAAATACCACATAGGCAGGAAAAGAAAGGAAATTAATGTATCTCTGGATCAGCCAGCACAGGACATTCAATTTGTGATATGGAGTGCACAAGATCCTTTCAGGGAGAATGCAGATCAAAACTATTTACCTTTTCTCTTACTCTCTTACAAGTGTAGAGACATTTTCCAGAAGCTACATAATCTGATGACATCATTGCTCTGATGGCTAGTGGGAGGTATATTTATATGTCCTTTTGGAAGTTGTCAGCATTAATTTCTAATATGGCAATATGGATCAATATAACCCTCACAAGCAAAAGTTTTTTGGATTCCTCCGTAATTCAGAATGGAAAGGGGTCCAGAAATCAAAGTGTTTGAAAACTGCTGGTGTGAAGGGTGGGCTGCCTTTGTAATATTCTGTTATTTTTTACTCTTCACTACTGTATTTTCAAGATGTTTGTATTACTGTCTATACATTTAGTTTTGTATTTATCCACATTATACTTATTCCCTATAGTTCTGTGCAAGAATTTTTTCTGGTAATTTTCAAGTGGCTTTACAGAATGGTTGTATGAGTTCACACCCCACCAGCAGTACTGAGGACCTACTTCACCTCCTTACCAATACCTTATTTACCTTGCTAATTTTTGCCATTCTGAATGTCGTAAAATGGCTTCTTGTTTAAATTTTGTATTTCTCCCACTTCATTTTTATTTTTTGTATGGTCATTCTTGCCTAGAGCTCTGCTTCTATTAATTAATCTTCCTGTGGATCAGCTTCTACTTTAGTTAAATCTGATTCTCTTTACCATGTATCATTGGTTCTCACTTCCATCTTTAAATTTTTGTCTCATTTCTTTGTATTTGATATAAGCAAACATTGAGTGCTTTTCTCCAATGATTATTGTTTTTATAACAAAGTATTTAAATTTTTTCTCTAAATACTGTTTTAGCTGTATCTCAAATATGGCAGGTAGTGTTTTTGCTGTTACTTAATTCTGTTTTCTAACTTTTATGATTTCCTATTTAACCCAGGGGTTCTTTAGTTGTATATTTAGTTTGCAGATATGAAATTTTTAGAGGTTTTATTTATTTTTAGAGGAGAAGGAGAGGGAAAGAAATATTGATGTGTGAGAGAAACATCAATTGGTTTCCTCCTGAAGGCTCGCCCATGGGGGACTGGGACTGCAACCCAGGCGTGTGCCCTAATTAGGAATCGAACTGGCGACCTTTTACTTTGTGGGATGATGCTCAACCAACTGAGCAACACTGGTCAGGGCACAGCTATGAATTTTTTAAAGTTGCCTATTTTACTGCTCTCCCCTGTATTTCATTATAGTTAGAGAACATGATTTGCATGAGGTTAGCTTTTTAGACTCTATTGATGCTTCCTTTGTGACCTAACACAAGGTCAGTTTTGTAAATGTTCCCATTTGTACTTGCGGGTAATGTATATTTTCTGATTTTTGAGGATAAATTTCTCTATAATATGGCCCTGTTTAATAAATATTATACAAATCTTCTAAATATTCATTTAGTTTCTGCTTGCTTGATTGTTTTTTGAGAAATATGTTAAATCTCCAATTACGGTTGTGAATTTAATAATCGTAGCTTGGGCTTTATATATTTTGGAACTATAGTGTTAGATACATATATGTTCCTTTTGCCCATATATAACATGTCCCTAAGAATGCTTTTCATCTAAATTCTCTTTTGCCAGTTATTAATGTTGCCACATTAGCATTCTTTTTTTTCTATTTTAATTGTTCAAGTACAGTTTTCTGCCTTTTACTCCCATCCCAGCCCATCCCCCCAGTCCTCCCCACCGCCCTCCCATTTCCACGCCCCCTTGTTTTTGTCCATGTGTCCTTCATACTTGTTCCTGCAAACCCTTCCCCCTTTG